CGATATCGAGATCCCAATGGCGTCGGGAAACCAACCGGGAAAGGGATCCCATTTGGAATGGGATTCTGTCGGGAAAAGGTATCCCAGCTGGAATGCGGATCGGGATCCCATCGGGAAAGGGATTACACTGGGATCGGGAGCTCACTGAGAGCGGGATCCCACTGAGATCTTGATCCTATTTTGGGATCCAGAAATCCCGGCCACGCCGGGTATATTGGCTAATGCATCAATAAAAGTTAGGGATCCTAGTGGCTTAGCTAGGGTTTTGTTCGCCCAGGGTGGACCGAACATTTTACCACCCTCCTTCCACTAAAAATATTTTGAAGTTGGCCGCCCCCACCCTTGCCCTTTCCTATGTTACTGTAGTGATGTAATAATTAAAACTTGTGACCTGTTTTGATAAGGCCAAGATAGTTGCTCAATGGTTCATGTAGCACTAGATCTGTCAGACGGGTAGTAACCTAGCTACGTTTATTGTCCCGACCAGTTCAAATTATATGCAGAATTTTAAAAATAATTTTTGTGGGTACTTAAGACGGCGCTAAATTCTTTTAAAATATTTTTTTTAATGACCTTTCCCTACAAATGTTCAACCTCCACCTCTGCAATCAATAATACCTCCCCTCCCACTACAACGTTCCCGTCTGTTTGTAGAAGACTAGCAAAATACCCGCACTTCGCAGCGGAGAGACTTTTTTAAGAAAAAAAAAGGTACAAAATGATCAAATATCCGCATACTCGGGAGAAGATGCAATGCATTCCCTGGCGGAACTCAATCCTGCCTCAAATCAATGCAAACTTTTTGTAGGGTCTTTCCTTGGGACCCCGATCCTGGTAAGACCCCAATTCTTATGAGTTCCCAATCCCATTCTGAACCCAATCTCTTTTCCCGGTGTGATCCCGTTCCCGGTGGGATCCTATTTTGTTGTGGCTCCGGATCCAGGGAGAATCCAGATCCTGTTGTGATCCCGATCCCGTCGGTGTCTTGATCCCAGTGGGATCCCGATCTCAGTGGTTCCCGATGGGCTACCGATCCCGTTAGGATACCGTTCTCTGTGAGATCTCGTTCCACCTAGGGACTCTCTTTTCCGATGTTGTCCCTTTTCCTGATAGGCTTCTGATCCCGGTTTGATCCCGTTACCCGATGGGATCTCTATGGTATCCTGTTCCCAGATGGGCTCTCGTAACCGATGGGTCCCATTTGGATCCTGTTTTTCTAGGGGATCATGCTTAGTGCGATTTTGTTCGAATAAGCTTTTAGATCCAATTATAAATCCCCGTAGATCAATATAGAAATTCTAGAACATTCTTGATTAAATTTAATATCCTCCATGAAACGTGTAAAAAATTACTTTTCTACGTAATTATTTCTCGAAATCGAAATATTATACAACTTAATTGTCCTACTATAACTATATACATTTAAATTGATATAGGGGCCCCGGCGGGGGTCCATTAATAAAGTACCGTTTTTGTTCTGTCTGAGATGGGGTGGGGGGGGGGGGGGTTTAAAAATCATTCAGATAAATTATAGATTTAAAATTTGTCCTATCAATATTCGTTTTAAAATGCCATCGATATAGCTTTTATAAACTATCGAAGTTTCTAGAAAATTCTAGATCGGCCCTGAATGGATTGTATATTATTAGTTTAAAATCCACCGATATTTTAATACGGACTAAGAATGGTATTGCTACAAAGCTACGCCTTAGATCCACCTATTCACATAGAACCTAAAATGTTAATAAGCCTGCCAAATTTCAGGCTTCTATCTACAGATGAAGTTGGAGAATATAGCTTATGTAAGAAAAAATGAAATGGGGCCCGGCCCCAGGGGTATGGATATTATGAGATCAGTACCATTCGGTATTTGAATATGGATATTCAAAAGTATGTGTACTAAGTTTGGTCAAGATCCATCTATACATGTAGGAGTTCTAAACCTATTGATATTTATATAGCTTATATAAAGAAAAATAAAATGGGGCACCAGGCCCCAAATGGATAGATATTATGTGTTAAGTACCCTTCGGTATTTGAATATGGATAATCAAATGTATGTATATTAAGTTTGTTCAAGATCCATCAATTCATGTAGCAGTATTTGTTGATCATTTTATTTTTATAGCTCTTATTGAAAAAAAAACGACATTTTGGGCCCCCGACCCCAAACAGTATAAATTTTCGAAATGAAACCTGCTTTACTTTTGCCAGTAAGCTGTATAGAATGAGCCTGCTAAATTTCATGCTTCTATCTACAGGGGAAGTTGGAGAATTAGTGATGAGTGAGTGAGTGAGTGAGTGAGGGCTTTGCCTTCTATTAGTATAGATATCACAATGTTTAAATTTGAGGTTTCCCAAAACTTATCATTATGTTTTTAAAACCCAAATTAACGTACATTTCATTACTTTATAATTGTTTAATGTAATATAATATATTTAGAAACAAATATAATTGTTTATTTAATATTTAAATGTGCCGTGTAAAGATTTTTTAAAATTTAAAAATAAAATACGGCTTTCTCCAGTGAACTCCTCCAACTTTCGTCTTTTCACGGGGTATTCTGTCAACATGAGTAAAATTGCTGACACCTTTTGATCTTCTATTTCAGACCTCATGTCTCGTCTGTCACCTTTTGATCTTCTATTTCAGACCTCATGTCTCGTCTGACACCTTTTGATCTTCTATTTCAGACCTCATGTCTCGTCTGTCACATTTTGATCTTCTATTTCAGACCTCATGTCTCGTCTGACACCTTTTGATCTTCTATTTCAGACCTCATGTCTCGTCTGACACCTTTTGATCTTCTATTTCAGACCTCATGTCTCGTCTGTCACCTTTTGATCTTCTATTTTAGACCTCATGTCTCGTCTGTCACCTTTTGATCTTCTATTTCAGACCTCATGTCTCGTCTGTCACCTTTTGATCTTCTATTTCAGACCTTATGTCTCGTCTGTCACCTTTTGATCTTCTATTTCAGACCTCATGTCTCGTCTGACACCTTTTGATCTTCTATTTCAGACCTCATGTCTCGTCTGACACCTTTTGATCTTCTATTTCAGACCTCATGTCTCGTCTGTCTTGGGTGCGATGGGAAAACCTGGGAGCCCGACGGTTCGGCTCTTACAGACAAGTTCAAGGACATCAGATCCATGGAGATTAGATCATCACTCAATAATTCAGATGGTAATTTAATGAATGAAATCTTTTTTGCATATTTTAATCTTAAAAATAAGGGCAGTCATTGACGTCATGATGGTTGGTGTCACTCAGTGCGCAAAACTGGTACTATCACCCGCCTATCATGTTCCCCATATGGGCCTCCTCTGACTCTTACTGCCCTGATGACACCCTGCTCTGGAGGTAAACTGCCCTGATGACACCCTGCTCTGGAGGTAAACTGCCCTGATGACACCCTGCTCTGGAGGTAAACTGCCCTGATGACACCCTGTTCTTCTGGCACCCTTTTCTGGTGGCACACTGTTGTAGTGAACTGAGTTCTTTAATAAAAACCTCATCGAGCGAATCGGCCATTTCTTAAAAGTTGCCAGTTGATGTCGCCCCCCCCCCCACCCCGTGAAGGTGTTACCCAGTGCGGTCGCAACCCGCTAGTGACGCTACTGATGACACTAAATGTTATTATTCCTGGTGTGCGCCATCCCACCCCTACACCAAGTTAAGCTTGCCCTACACCGAGTTAAGCTTGCCCTACACCAAGTTAAGCTTGCCCTACACCAAGTTAAGCTGGTCAACATCCAGAAATGAACTGATGTGGATTTGTTTTATTAATTAAAATTGAATATTCTGAGATACTTCAACATTTCCGGGATTATAGTGTGAGAAACACTGGTGTATTGGAGGCACTTAGATGTAATGTATGCTTTGTAATTTAACAGTCAACAATTGGTACATATTTGTGAACATTTATATTTGAACCTGCTAATATAATTATATATTTGCAAATATTTTTGCTCAAAACAATTTTTATAATAAATCAATCTGAGCTTGATTTCCAATGACAAGGACTGCGTATAGCTAAGAGAAATTCTCTCATGATATATAATTATATTATTTCTCAATAATATTTTGTTTGGTGAAAAGAGTTACATTAATGATTAACAAATTGAAATTTTATGGATTACAAATGTTATAGCATATGATGTTCCCATGCTTCATTTATTATATATGTATATGTATTAATATTATTATTATTTATTTATTTATATAACACAGACCGTATAGAACATGTGTATTAACAATGCATGTATTAACATTGATTTTTGAGCTTTTTGACCATTGAGTTTCACTGTTCTCACCAAGTGAAACTATTTTGTTTCTGTCATTAGCTCTGTATCATACAATGTTATGGTAGTTCAACCACTCCCAGCTATGTCAATGCTCACAATACTTGGCTCACTGTGGCCATGAAATTAGAAGTTGGATTACACATTTTTGTATCTCCCTTGTTCTCTAGAATATAGAACAATTAATATGTTGAACTGGGATCACGGACAAGCTCATTTGTATCCATATATACAGTTTAGAGTAAATTTTAAAGTAAACATTTATTGCAAAAAGAAAAAAAATAGATTTAAAAAAACCAACATGAAACAAACATTTTAAAACATAAAATCTATTTGCTGAAGCATACTAATAGGGACAAGGAAAAGACATCTACCTAAACCTTATGCAAAGAAACTGTCTCATCATTTTAGTTTACTACAATATCTTTTGCAGGAGAAGGCTACACACAATGCAGCTAAAACATGCATTTACTAGCAGCTTAAAGATGGGCTTATTTCATTATATAGATACTGTTTCATAGACTACTGGTACAGATGTATAATATCATAATCATATATATATATATATATTATATATATATATATATATATATATATATATATATATATATATATCTATATAAAGTGAAAGTTTGTGTGTTGATTTATTCCGCATACGCTTATATATGGAATTATAAATTTTGATAAAATATAAAGTGAAAGTTTGTTTGTGGATTCATTCCGCATACGCTTTTACATGGAATGATAGATCTTGACAAAATTTGGCACATATATTCATCATTATCTAGAAGGAACATGGGGGGGGGGCTATGAACTTATTATAACATTCCGTTTGGTGCTGGGTGCCCAAAATGTCGATTTTTCTAATATGAGCTACATCAATAAAGTTAACAAGAAATATTCCTACTTGAATCCACACTTAGTACACTTACACTTGATTAGCCATATTCAAATACCGAAGTATATTGAAATTATAAGGGTATTGAACTCATTATATCCTCAACATGGTCATTTTGAATGGACCAATAGGATTTAAACTTCTTGTTTTCCAAAATTGAATTTATTAACAGCCAGTTTTGAATGTGGATCTTTGCAAAAATATTACTTTTCTAAATCCAGTAAAAAACTGTAAAAAAGCGTGTACAGCTGTACAACGTGGCAAGCATATAAAAAAATTCACACAATATGGGTAAACTGTACAGGTTGGCATGTATGATCAAAACTTCATGTCATGAGATCTAACAAACTTGGGTTGGTGGCACTATTTTAACATTATTAACCTATCATGCCAATCAGAGCTACGTTCTGTAATTCTAATCACAATGACAAATTTTTTATATGTCTGATGAGTAAACCCATATATTTTAAGTGTCAGTGATACATGTTCACAACTTTGCCTAATAAAATTTAACTACAATGACTTTTTGGTAAAGGCAGAAGCCTGTTATTAATGTGGGGCTATGACGATTCACCTCCGCTTTTTGCAGATAATGATAATGTGAAATACAAAAATTTTAATTTAAATACAAAGATGATTTTAAAAAGTTCAAGTTTTAATCTCTATTGACGTCGCAATTTGTTTTTTTATATTATTTTTAGAACTGCAAAGCTCCTACGGGGATTTATGGAACTAGACTAAACTTGTTAATGTTCAAATTGAAATCTTTTAGAATTTTAAAATGGATATCACTTACCCCCAATAAAAGCATCCTTTTTTGACTGGGTAACTTTTGTCTGACAATTCTAAAGTTAATAAATGTTTTTTAAAAACACAAAATTTTGGTAGAATTTTGAAAGAAAATTCAATTATGTTGGTACTTATGAATTGAGTGACTTGAATAAAGCTCATGTGACAACTTTTCTTCTTAATCCACAAATACATTGCATGCTGGAATGACCTAATTTGTGTCACCCAACTCTGTTATAACAGATTGAGCTACATAAAATCTTGACACATTCCCAACATCTTGTACAACCAGTAATGTAAGCATTCAAAGACAACTGCACCACATTTTCCATCACACAGAGCTGTAACAGTGTTCATTTGTGGCCCTACCTTGTATAGACGAGTTGCCAATAAATCTATATAATTTTTTTTAATCACCTCTGTCTTTTTGTTATAAATTTTATATTTAAACTATTTCTAAAATATTTGTCAGAAAAATGGAGGCCCAAATCATAAAAATGTTGCACTTAAACAAAATGATATAAAAATAGATTTTCTGTATAAGACTTATAATCCAATCTATAGCCTACTATCATCCAGTTCTTGGATATATATTTAAAAATTATGTCATATACTCTAATTCTAAAAGGAAGAACAAAATAAATTAAGAGAACCAAGTTATATTAACTCAACTATTTGAGTAGCACTGTTATTATTTACTTAGTTGAGCATATCTGGCAGTTAAAGTTAAACCAGATTGACTAATATTTAAAGCTTATAACTAAGATATAATTGATGGCAGGAAAAAAAATCACTAGTTGGCACTGACACTGATTAGAACAACATTTAAGGTAAACAAAATAATTACTATTTGGTGTAACATTTACCTTTAATCCTAACTCTGAAAATGCTTTAATGACAAAATGCTAAGAAGGTTTTAATGAAGAAAAGGTTACTAATCTTTTTAAATCTACAGTAATTTTTCTATACAAACAAATGATGAGAAAAATTTAATTTTTTTTAAAACACCAAAAAATTTGGTCATGATGGAAACTAAAGTAACAAAGGAAAAAAAGACCAAAAATACTTTTTGGAATAAAACTTTTATAAATGGATTTTTACAAGAAAGTAAATATAAATAAATGATAAATGTTGCTGGGTCTAAAACATAGTTATTAAAAGTTTTGTATTTGGAATGTATAATATTGCACAAAGGAATATAAATTACAATTTTAAAAAATTTGAGAATAACAGAAATAATAATAAAATAAGATTAAAAATTGACAACAAAAATAATTCTTGACTATTGATCACAATTAGTCTACCTTTGTTCCAAATGGTAAATAAGGGCAATGAGGTAAGCAAAAAAGGAAATGAGTGAAACAAACTTGGGGAAACCTGAAAAAAGTAACGCAATGAAACAACGACGGAAAGCCTTCATCAGCAAACAAACAATAGTAAAAACATAATTTAATAAAATAACACTTAGCTGAGATGTTATATCCCAGAGGGCAGCAATAGGATGTGACAGATAATAAGTACGTGAGAGATTAAATACAGGCAAAAATGGAAAGAAAAGAGAAGAAGTAAGTTCACTCCAATTGATCATGAGGAGGAGGGGCGGAGCAAAGGTTTAACAGGTGAATGAGACTATGACATTCATGGCAATAAATAAACAATTGAATATACACAAATAACAAAAATGAAACTAGAAGGAAACATTTTTTAGGATAGTTAAACACAATTATCAGTGAGAAAAGACTTTGGAATGATTTTTTTTGTATGGGTTGACCTAAAAGCTGTGATACTAATAATCCAAAATGGCTCAGCATAATTAAAATGGTAGGTCTATTGGTCATTTTTGGTGATCATTAGTTGTTTCTTTGACAGTTTTTTTTCAACAGGAAGTCAATACTTTTGGGCTTTATTTAATGTTATATTATTTAACAAACTTAAATTAAAAATAAAAGTATATACATTCTTTCAGCTCACAGAGTGTGCACTGTTAACTATTTAAAAATTCCCATTTGGCGATCTAAATCTTTGTTAAAAAAAGTTCTAGGTTAATTAAGAGGTTTGACAAAAAATCTAAACACATTATACACATAGAACACACAATATAAAGCTCAACATTCAACTTCAAAAAAAAAAATCAAAAAAGTGTACAGTCCATCTTTTTTAAAATCCAGTCTAGCAATTTAACATTAATAAACTAAAAGCAGCTTAATTTTTTGGTCTAGGAAAAAAGCTAGACTGCATCCTATACACTTATTGCACAATATCAATATACCAAGATAATGTTGGATTAATTACCTCATTCAAAATATTGAACTTTCCTCTACTTAAACTGACCCTTTCTTTACTTAGCATTAACCAGTGGTATTGATAACCTTTTAAAAGATACCTTCATTCTTTTTTTATATTACAAACAATGAAATGTGCCAGTAGTGAACCCACTCTACTAATTTGAACAAGGACACTTTTATAAAATTAATAATATTAACTTTGTTGCATCTTTTTAAATGTATTTATTCCTTAAAAACAAGAGTGTTTGCCTTGGTGCCACCATAAGGCTCCACAACTAATTACTTAATTAGTTTAGTTTCTTGTTGTAAAAACATTCAAAACTAATAAAAAAATTATAATAAGAGCATAGAGGATTTGAATACCACTGGTACAATGCACTTGAATATCAACACCGCTGCCACCACCACCTTATCACTTTTTCAAAGGTAAAAATTGATCTCCATGCTGGCCATGTGTTGAAATATTTGCTTCAACTTTGGGAAAGTAGCTTCATTGTAGTTGGCTACAATCTCATCCACATCTTCACAGCACTTTTTCTCTAGCTCCCGCAGCTGGCCCAGCACACTATGTCCCTTTTCTTCCTGTGTGTCCATCATGTTGCATAGTTTCTTGTGTCCCCGATAAAGTGCGTGGCCTCGATCTCCTTGGTCACAAACAGCTTCATTCGGGGGAGACAAAGTCACATCACCAACAGCTGCTCCTGGACCAAAAAAGAAAGGTTTGTAGATGGAGGTTGCCGGATTGGGTGTGCCTGTGAACCAGTGGACACTGGGTGCAGGAGATGACGCAGGAAACAGAACTGAGACCTGACTGCCAGCAGTGATGAACCCTCCATCCATCATACAAATCCCTCCTTCTTCATCTCGGAGAATTCTGAACATGTCTTGGTAACCAAATTTACCTGGATAAAAATTGAAAGACATTTAATAACTTTACCATCCTACATGCTTAGTTGCAAATAACTTATATAACAATAAACTTTTAAATAAAAAGGTGCTTTGGAAAGATTTTCTATTGCAATAGGAAAACTAATCAGAAATCACACTGCACCAGATAGATAAGTATATATATGTATATTTTTTAATGCATATCTTTTATTCTAATAGTTAGACACCATCCCAACTAAAAAAAAATAAAAAATTTAAGGAAATTTAATTTTAATTTTACTAAAGTCCTAGTTCTAATGCCATGCTCATATAAGTCTAATAAAGAAGATTTTTAAAGGTTTAATCAAATTCCTGCTTAGCTTCAACTATTAACTTCTACTCTCTTGTATATCCAATATCCAAGGTTTTTAGCCCATGCTTACCTTTGGTCCCCAATAAATGAAGCCAAGAAACCTATCTTTTTGTTATTTTAAATATGTTATATCACAGCTTTTTTAAATCCCCAAACAAATTATTGTCATTTTTAAATGACCTTCATTTCTTTCAGACCAATTCTTCTGTTTCATTATATACCAGAAACATTGTCTTTCTCTGTGCCAAAATAATTCTTTTTAAAAAAAGACAAACCTGAGCTTATGGCTTTCTCCATCACTTCGTGGCCATGGCGATAGCGAAAGCTTGTGCTATTGGCTGATGTGTTCCCAGCCTGAGACTGTGCACAAAATGTGGACTTGAAATCAAATTCTCCAATATCATCTGAATACAGACCCAGATTCTTAGCTTCCTGAACAAGACTTGGGGATGTTAGGTCCATTTTGGTTCTTATGCTGAGTTCATTGGAGATATTTCTAACACCATCTTGCAGACAAAAAACAGCAATAAATGACAATAGTTTTATTATTGAAGTAAAAAGGAAATTTTATTAAGTGTATCTGATTCTAAATGACCATTTTCAATCAATGTTTTAAGAACTTAGATGAAATATTAAAAACTTGAGATTATTATTTTCAACAGAGGAAAATTGTATGCATTTTGGTTTTTATTTTGAATTTGCTACATTAAATTATTAAAGTATTAACATAGTTTAAAATTCCATTATTAAAAGCCTCTACACTTAACATTAAGTCAACTACCTGAAATCTTCTCAGCTGCCCATAAAGCCCCGGCCGTCTCAAGTACCCAGGCCTCTGAGCTGTCAGCAATTAGAAAACTATTATGAAAACACCATCCATCTTTACCAGGCTCATCTGTACATGGGCCACCCTGGCCAGGATTAGCCAATAGTTCTGTGATGACATTAAGGGCCTCACGTGCAGTTGATGCTCGTTCTAGGCTTAATCTATATAGTAAAAATGAAGTTAATTAAAGACTTACTAACTCATTATTAAATTAAAGGTTCGAGAATTAATACATACATTTTAGTGAATATAAGTGTTTCTCCACCTTATTTCTTGACATCCCACTTGGCATGATAAAATGATAAAGGAGATGTTTCTTAAGGAGTAAAAAAAAAAAATTAAAGACATCAGAAGTGTAATTAAGCAGCACTCTTTGTAGCCAAAGGATTCAAATTTAATGTAAACAAAACTTAAAAATGTTTAAATGAAAATATTTTTTGCACCGACTTTTTTGCATATCTGTACTAATGGATTTTAAGAAATGTCAAATTATTTTATACTTGTCATTAGTTTAAACTTGTTCTTGATAGAAAGTCGTTTAGTTTTAGTCGTTCAACTGAGTGATATATTCATGTGTGTCTTCAGTCTAAATTGAACATGGGCACGTATATGAGCTCATTGTTAACTTTGCTGTGTGCGCACAAATGGCATTAAATTTTTTTGTGCAGTAAATGTACAGGATTGATGAAAATCTCTAAGAGCAGAGTAACTCAAATGTTTCTAGCATGTCTTTTGTGCTCTGCAGCTGCTGTTCTGTTGCCTTCATTTTGTAGCATATATATAATATATATATATATATATATATATATAAGTATGTATGTATGTGCGTGTGTATATATATATATATTTCAATGGTTACATTTTTTATTTTTAATAAGCAGGTTTCTCACCGCACCATGTCAGTTCCAAGTAACTTTTTCTCTAAATCTTTGGGTCCATTTAGTTTAGTCCACACTGGAGCATTTCCCACAGCCAATCCCTGTTCATTAGCACCCATTTCTGCACCCCACATCCAGGATGGCTTGCTAAGAATCACAGCATGGGTGTGGTTCACTTGATCAATATCTATATAAGTGCACTAAAAAGAAAATACCATAAGTCAAAGATCGCAAAACATTTGGTAATATTGTGCAACAGTATGATTTCTAATTCATTCAACCTGCCAACAGTTCAGTTAACCTAATAAAACACATTGTTTAATTGTTGGTAAAATTGCCCTATATAAAATTCAGCTTGGAGACCCCTGTCGTCCCAGACACTGCTGTGAAGTCTTCCAACTATGAAATTTGCCTTTATAATTCTGTTGATCTCATCATTTATTGTTGCTTACAATTTGAAGGTGCTGCCTAAATATGTCAAATTTTGAACTGCTGGGAGATTCTGACTGAAATGTGAGGCTCTATATAAAAGTTTCCTGACCCTGGCTGATGCAAGATCACTGATTTTCTTTTGTACTCATGGCAAGGCCTCAGTTGTCGCAACCCTTAGCAAAGTGATCAAGTTTTTCCTGCTTCTTCAGTTCTGAGCTTGCAATTAGGGTGCAGTCATTAGCAAATAAGAAGTCTCTAATGATAGTTTCTTTGACTTTCTTAATGGCTTGTAGTCTCCTGAGAATAGCTCTTCATATGTCAATTATCTTGCAGGAATGTCATCCATATTGTCAAGAAAAGCATGAAACAGAAATGCAACGGAACGCCTTACTTAGTGTTTGTCTCAAAGAATTGCAGAAGTTTAGCAGTTTTTAAAGTCTTTGTTAAGAGGTGATAAAAACATTCATTTCAAAGCTGCAAAATCACCTGCCCTGAGTTAACTTTTCTATTGAACAGCCAATGCTAAAATAAGCAGGTATTCTAGGTAGAAATTTCCATATAAAAGTCAAAAGAAATATTTAATTCTTGGAATGTTATCATGTTGCCTTGTCTTTTTAAAAATAAATTTTGCAGAAAGCTTACCTTAACCTTTTCACCTCTAAGATGATCTTTAGCAGGACAATATATAACATCTTGTACCTCCGATGCTGGTCTATTAGAGTTTTTACCGAAAACCACAGCACTATTAGCTGTTACTGGAGGTAATGCCACAAACAAGTCAGCCATTGGATCTGAAACATAAGACCATTTCCTTAAAACTTCACATTTCTAAGGATTTCAATACGAGTAATATGATGATACATTAAGTTCCCCATCATTCATCAAAATGCCCTACCCTACCTCCTGTCTCCTCCAAACATTCTTTGAATAAATGGAAAAAATAAATTTATTTAGGTAGACCAAAATATTAAAAAAAAAGCTATTCATGAAATCTAAATTACAAATATGGCGCCAAACGTTCCATTTAAAAAAAAAAACAACCAGGTCAAAAAGTAATATAATTTCAAAAGCAATTTTTAAGATGGCAAACAAAATACATTCTTGCATTTACTATAACAGTACAAAATGGTGACTAATATTTGGTTCTTGGTATCCTAAACATTGAATGGTGTTGTAATTAAAGCTGTGTTATGTCACATGGCTGTTATCACCCATCATCACCACATGCCCAAATAGTAAGTAGGTCATGCTGTTTTGACTGCATTAAAGCATTATTTTTTTTATTATAATTAACTACAATATAAAAGCATCAAATACATGCTATCAAATTTAGTAACGTCAATAAATTATAAGAACAGGTCATGTACATTTAGTCATAATCTTAATAAATACAATTTTAATAATCTTAACACACAAATAAATATGCAGCCATGTACTCTATGTTGCCTATAAAACTTTTAGTTATGCAGTAAAGATAATATAAAGTGATCAATATCCAAATAAGCTTGTCTATTTAAGAAAAAATAAGTCTATGGGCTGTTCGTGCTGGGCACAGGTCAAAACTTATTTGTATCAATTCACTAAAAAACGTTAAAATTTCATTTAAATAAAGCAAGCTAAGGCCATAAATAATTGCTTAAAATTTTCCATAATAGCAGATTTGACCATCCATCTTCTACGCATATTCCCATTACTTTAACTTCACAGATAAATACATTTTGAAAGTATTTAAATGCATTAAGTCACACAGCAAACTGTATTGGACTAAAATCTATGTAAGTTAAAGCTTTATATTTTCTACTACTGCATGCAACCTTCATTTTTAAAGTCAGAAATAATCTGTTTTAGAAGCAGCAACTCATATTTCTTTTTCCTGAAAATATTATACACAGCACATAGTATGGGACACTAATAGATTCATTTTCAGTTATTATAGGTTATTGACTTTGAACATGGACACATAATAAATGCATTTATACCAAGATAATTTTAATATTAAAATGAAATCAAGAGTTTTAAAAAAACTAAAAGACTTGAATAAAAATAAAACACCTTACCAGTAGATGTACATCAACTAAATAAGACGAAAACTCATTCTACCTTGAGTGATGAAACTTATAAGCTAGCCTTAGTCGTGCTTCATAATCACATTAGACACGTAACAAAAGGACAGGAAAATAATAGGATTTTTATTACTACATCAAAACTTGCTGATCAATGAGTGTGGGAAAAAAAATAATAATGGGAAATTCAGTGACAGTGATAAATAAGAGAAAGAAAGACTGTTATGACATTTACTTGTAGAATCAATAATATCTGGTAATAGCATTAAAGGGGACTCAGCTTTGGGACTCCACCCAAAAGAGAGATACAAATATGAATGTTGAGTACATCATATATATTATATTAGTTGTCAACAAAATTGCACTGTAAGGAACTGTACTGCAGATTTTTTTAAAAAGTACACAACCACTTACATTTGTCACTAAATTCCATCCATGTGTGTGTGGGTGTATGTGTGTGTGTGTGTGTGGGGTAGGATTGAATCTCAGCCCCCATCAACAGAACTGTAGTTTAATACAGAACTTTGAGAAAATTGAGACTAAGTCATGCACAATGGTATTGAGAACAAAGTGTCAATGTTAAAACAGGAAAATAATACACGAAAACTTGACTTCACATTAGGCAAAATTACATTTATGAGTCAATAAAAGTAATAACAAAACAAAATTCATGTGAAAATTACCACATAATAATCATAGCAATTACCACATACTAAACAAGGCATTTACCACATACTAATCATAGCAATTACCACATACTAAACAAGGCATTTACCACATACTAATCATATCAATTACCACATACTAAACAAGGCATTTACCACATACTAATCATAGCAATTACCACATACTAATCATAGCAATTACCACATACTAATCATAGCAATTCTCACATACTAATCATAGCAATTACCACATACTAAACATGGCATTTACCACATACTAATCATGGCATGACATGTATTAAGTAAAATTTAATTTAAAATCCACTCCTTCTTTCTCAAAGTATGGCATATGGATAAGGGTAGGTCCGTGTCCCCTTCCCACCTCATCCAATCAAAACAGATTTGCTACAGAAACAACAACATGCCATTTGCTGGATCAAAAATGATCATCATCATTCAGATCCAGTGGCCCTTTGGGCTGTGGTCATGATGAGGAGTAAATGTTTTGAGAGTTCTGTATGGATCAGAGTGAAAGAACATGACAACACATCAGAACAGAAGTTATACAGCATTGTGGGACAATTAATGAATATAATTACACTAACTCACAACAGGGTGCAGGTGATCATAAAGTATGTCCCCCCACTTAGGGAACATTTTATAAATAATTTATGTTGTTGATGATTTTTTAATGGATTCACATTTGAATGTTTGGTTATATTTAAATATATGTCTTGCCTCTGTCTTCAACACTTCAAGACACAAAAATGTATACATTATATTTTAATTTATACTTGTTTAAAAAAACAGCTATAAAGAGATGGCAATCTACTATATAAAGTTCAGTGTCACTATGTTTCTTTGTTTGTAAATAGTTTAGGGGCTTGCACACAGGGTGCTTTGGCATAGCTAGGGATTTACTGCCCTGGAGGGTTTGATTATTAATTGTTATTACCAACTTTATATTGTAGATGTGTGTTGAGGAAAGGAAAATCACAATTTTGTTATTGAACGGTTAAGCCCTAAATCAGTATTTGGTAAAACCATGTCAATGAATGTGTGGGTGCATTTTATGAGTATAGCAACATCTCAAAGACACAATTTGTTAATTACAGAATATTTTCAGTCCATAGTTGATTTCCCTCTCTTTGTATAATATTATGTAGGCCTACATATTGTACATTCATTATTAGCTTTTTAAATGCCACACACAATAAGTTTCGGTCTTGCTTTTAAAAAAATTTTTTTTTTTATGACATCAGCTAATGGCATGGTAGTGTTTCAGTTAAAAACATTAAAAGACAATGTAAAATGAAAAACCATTAGCCGTTATAATGGTATTCATCAATATATAAATGATGAAACAATCAGTTGTATGTCTTAAATGGAATTTAAAAAATTTAAATCTTTAATAAGATTTCAAATCTGTTAGCACCACATGTTTCTATATGAATAAATGGATCTTGATCAAACATGGGATACATAGTTATAGCACTTCAATATCTAGAAGAAAATGCTGATCAGGCTTTTAAAAAAAAAAATCCAATAAAGGGGAAAAAAAAGGGGGGGGGGTTCATAAATAAAATTACAATTAATGGTTAATACTAGATTTAACATTGTAAAATTTTAAAGGGCCAATTTATAACATAAATTTGTTTGTCATCCAACCTAAAATACTCAGCGCTGCAAAATATTAAAGATTAAGTTCTTTTTCTGCCGGGGGGGACCAATAGTAAAAATTACTATTTATATGGGAAAAATTTAAAAAATGAACTTGAATATATATCTGAATGATTTTTATAGTGCCTTTATCTTAAGGAAAACTAAAATGGCCCCGTTTGGAATGCCAGGGATCCTATTTTTATTTTAATTGATAAATGGCCATAGCTTTGGCATTGGTGAATATATTTTAAAAAAGTTGTATTTGTCTTTAATTTATGATTTTTAGCTGGGCACATTTTAAATATTAACTGAAAAGGGGTGGGCCCCAATTTCAAAGTTTACAAGTGTTATTATAAATAAGGCTTTTTACAGGGGAAAAATTTTCATTGGTACTTTAGCAAAGTGTTTTTGGCAGGGACCCTAATGTATGTGTGTGCTGATAATACTTTAGAAATTTTTCTGAATACAAATCCAAGCAAACCCAGGTATATCGGCCAGTTATAAATGAAACAATGTTCCATTTTTTTAAAACTAAAATGGAAATTATTGATGAGAAATGAAAAAAATGTATTAAGATTTCTTGCACATGTTTCAAAGATTTTAAAAATACAAGTACCAGGGGAGTAGCATTTTAGATAAGATGGTGCCTCATTGGGAATGCACAAGAATTCTCATTTATCAATTTTGTAAAAAAAGACACATTTTATTTTTATGCTGATATAAATAGTATAAATAATCATAGCCACTTTTCTGAGATCTACTCCTAACATGAGTGGCTTTGCATGTCAGCTATGACATTGAAAATTGTAAAAACCCTTCTCTGAAAATTTGTATGAACGAACATTGTTCAAATTAATACTGTTTGAAGGAGGTTTATCAGAATGGAGATTTTATTCTAAATGATATTTGTTAAACAGAGAATTATTTATTTTAAAAATGCTTTTTTCAGGGAATGTGTAATGGAGAAAAGTGGAAAATATCAACTTTTTAAACAACAACACCACACAACCCCCCCCCCCACCCCATTTTTATAAGGATAAAGTCGAATAGATACACTGCACTCTGTAACCGGAATTATACAGTTTTATAACATATATATCCATTTTTTTTTATCTCATACATTTTACATAGAACTATTGATTTACTTACTTACCGATAGATACTGAAACAAACTAGCCTCATTCTTAACCAACGCCATATATGAATAGTTTGTGGTGCAAACTGAGCAGTGAATGTTTATAAAGTAAATAAATTGATTATCATCTAGTTCATTATAAGTGTAATGGCTAATTATGTGTAATAATCCTTTAACCGTTATTTCTAAACATCAGTTAAGCCAATAAGCCAACCGTCAGCGTCTCTTGGTATCTTGTCGAATGTTCTCGATAACCCGAGAAATGTAAACAACACGTCATAAGTCTTTTCAGGAAGCTTCTTACGCTACATGTTTATAAGGGATGGACAGATACAGAGGGACGGAGATTTAGATAGATATTTGTAACTTTACGAGACGTGTATTATTCTTTGTGTTCTTATAAATGTGTTTATTCACATTTCGTCATTGTACATTATTAATTGGCACATTGTACTAACTGTGTACTGTGTACCAGTACAAGATCTACCATACTGTAAGTTGATGATTTGTCATGATATTTCTTTTGTTTTGTAATTGTATTATTACTTAATTAAATCTTATTAATTGTAATTGGTACTGTTTTGGGTGTCGTAATTTTGTTAGCATATTTATCTATGGTATCGTCCTTTGTTAGGCACTGTTTGAACGAGCCATAACTTAAAACAAGAGATTAATTTCTCACAATAGAAGCCAGTGCGTAACATATTCAATAGGGCCTAGGGCTAATGTGAAGAGATAGATTAGCACCCTGACGTCATTTGCATGTTTTGTCCCTGGTTCTGATATGGTCAAAATCAAAACCCATGTTAGTGTTTAGGGATACTTTTCGGGTTCAGGTTAGGTTTAGGGATAAATTTAGGACATAACCTCGCCATGGTAAAAAAAACCCAGTGCTATCTCTTCACATTTACCAGGCCTAGATATTTGAGAGCAAAATACATCATTTTCTCATACTACTAATAGAAGTAATACTAATTGGCGGCCAATTGAGGGGCAAACTATTAATTAAACAATTAATAATCTCATATTCATAGTAATCTGTAAATATGTAAATGTATTTATCATCATATTCATATAATTTATTATCCTAACTAATTATACTAATAGACTATACTTTACTAAACTATATCTATAATAGATTATAATTATACTATAGACTATGACTATACTATTACTATAGGCATAGGAGTATAGTATAGTGAACTTTAGTCTAGGAGGCATGTGACAAATAACAGTTTAATTCTAAATAGTAATTAGATTATTATTTTTATTATAATAATCTAATATTAGTCTACTTACTAATTTAAAGATAATACTAATACTAAAGTATTAATCTAATTTAGCTTATGCAGGCCTAGTCTACAAATACAAATGAATCAAATTAGACTAATTAGTTTTACAGACTCTATCTTCAACTTTACAAACCTAATAATCGTGTTTTTTTTTGCGTTTACCGTGAATAAATTTTTTTGCGTGATTTCGTAGTATTTTAAACCGATACTATTGATAGGTCTATCACCTTTCGCTGTTTTACGTCTGACTTCCAAATAACAATGCAAGGAGGTGTTGTGATAAGTTGCGATGGTATTATTCATCTGACGTTTATTTATTATTTTTTTCAATTTCTTTTTTTAACATTTTTATAAAGGGCTGCCACTCCCAATTTTTAAAATTATAGCAAATGACACTCGCACTTATCACCCGTTTTATTCAAAGATTTTGGTACCGACCTTACTCGCCTTCTTTCCGTTAAAATTGTAACTTTAAAATTCAAAATTTCGTTTTAGACTTTCAGTTCATTTGATACAAAATATCTTAACTTATTGATCAGTATAAGTGATATATTATATTTTAAATTCGAATGAAAATAATAAAAAGTAGAGATAGAGACGCCTAAATGCAGTGCCGTAGGCTGTAGGAATCCTACTAGTAACTAGGATAGACGGATAGGAAAGGGTGCAGAGCAGTGTTGCTTTCAGACATTTTCCCCCGAGAAGGGGCATATCAGATTTTCGAGGGGGGGGGGGGCAGTGACCAGAGGCGTAGCTAAGGGGTGTCAGATGTGACATACGTCCTGGAGCGTCAGATTAGAGGGGGCACCAAAATGGGCTTTGATGGTATTAATGTAAAATAATTAGTTACAGAGTTAAGGCTAAGGGGGAAGGGGGCATACAAATAAATCACGTACCCTGCCACCAGTGGCGTAGTAAGGAGGAGGATGAAGTTGTTCACACTGGTATAACTTTTTCTTTATATGGACGTGCAGCATTTTCGGACAACTGCTCAGTTTGAATCGTGAAGGGGAGATCGGCCAAAATATGTAGCCCCCATGGTGACATTGATATTAGCTACGCCTCTTGGAGGTGTATCTATCGTCACTGAAATTAGCGATCGTTTTCATCGGGGTGTAAGGTAGAAATCGAGAGCGCCGATGAATAGGCCTACTGCTTTTCTTTTTATAAATAAAAGCAAAATAAAGTCAGTTATTCATTGAAGCTATAACTCAATCTAGATTGAATTTTAAAACAAAATTTCAAAAATTAGACTAGACAATTATATAATACACATCATTTATCTGCTGCTTTTTCCATTTACGATAGGCGAGGTCAAGTTTTAGATAATCTTCCGATTATGCAATCTTTTTTCAACAGGATAATAAGTTGATTAGCGAAACTTGACCTCACCCAGTGATTAAATAATAAAAAGGAAACAAAACAATTAGACTGAAAAAAAGACTAGATTGACAAATTTTGTGACAAACTCTTGTGCTATAGAATCTGTTTTTTATGCCAGGGTTGTGAATTATGTTTCATTAAAAAATATTCACTGGACATCACCCATCCATGGTGACGACTGGCATCAATCTTTCACCATCATCGTTTCCTGGAAGGATAATTGCAGACAGATCAACTTCATCCTCATCTAGCCACTCAACATCCTCAAAATGTGCATTTTCTCTTCTGGCATGAGTTCTCTTTGCCTTCTTGCAGTGATTCTCAAAGAACTGATGCGTTTTATCTGAGTTGATTCTGGAACAGTTTGGGTTGGCACATTCTCCCGAGCCCGAGCTCTGCGTTTTCCTGCTTGTTTCTTCAACATTGTTTGTGAGGCAAAGTATAGATCTAACTGACAACACATTTAGGAAATACGCATTTCATGCTATTTTGACATAAAACTAATTCAAATGAAATATTTCACAAAATTTTTGAAAATTATTTTTAAAGCTATTAAATTCTACTAAAAAAATAAATTAAAAATAAAATTTAAAAAAAATAAATGTGTGACGTCACACATGGCCTGACCCCCCTCCCCCTGTCACAAACTGTCATACTTTCTTACAACCCCCCCCCCCCCCCCCTCATTCGAGCGTGATGTACTTTATGGAAAGCCCCATAGGCACTGGGAGAAGTGGAGTTATTATTTTCCATGGGCCATTTGGGGGGGGGGTGGGGGGTGGGGGGGATCTTTAAGTAAGAAAGCTTTCGGCCCTGAGCATAGCTAGGCTACCTAATTATGTTGTTGGCAAATGTTGGCTCCTGCCCCTAACTAATAAATAATGCATGTAATATCCAAAAAAGGCTAATTAATATTAATATATTTAATATGTTGTCAGTCATTTAAAATTAGCTTATGACTTATATGGTGTCCATTTTTCAAAATCAAAACAATCAAGTCATTTTTAAATTTTCAGGACAGGACATTTAAGTTAAAGAAGTTTTTGAGCCAAAGTCATAGCACAAGGGTTGCCCAAAAGTTATTTCTAGTTACCACTTGTTACTTTGAGAACTCTTCTGTCTATGAGGCGTTCTTCGAGGAAAACAAAAGGCAAAATGTGATGATCTATGCCTATGCCTATACTATATATAATAATTATTATATATAAAAATATCATATAATATATATTTGCCGTTTAAGGTATTTATTTCTGGATATTAGAGGTACACCGAGCTCCGATATTAGATGTACTCGTGATCTTTTGTTAAATTAATATCATTTTTCAATAGTAGTCTTAAATTTAACTTCACACGACTAACGACACTAACGAGGACAAAAAAAGTTTACAAACGTACTTCACGACATAACAACTACAAGTCTACAAATTACAAACAACAGTCGACAGTCTACGACTAAAGTACAGGCACTACAGCAGTACAAACTAGTAAGATCCCGTCCCCACTCACATGAACTTCATGCATTCTAAACTGAGATAAGGATAAAGACGGTACCGATAATGATAATGACTATTACTATTACTATTAGTAATACTATTAGTTAGTACTATTACTCACTATTACTATTACTATTAAAATTAAGTACTATTCATTACATACAATTTTAGTTAATAGTAGGCCTATACTATACTATTTATAATTACGATAAATTATAAAAAGATATATTAAATAGTCTATAGTCTATATTTAGACTCTATAGCAGTGAGCAGGGGTTACCAAACTACAGCCCGCGAAGTCAGTTCATCTGGCCCGTGGAGCCAATGCATCTGGCCCACAAAGCTAGTTCATCTGGCCCGCCACCTGTTGGGCCTATGTGAATTTACTTAATAAAACGAATGGAACACAACACTTTGTGATAAAATTTAAATATTATGTTTAAAATGCTAGGAGAACTTCACACGTGCTTTGCGCCTTAAATTCACCATTTTCAAAGTTATATTGTCGTAGGTAGATTTTCCTGTTAATTGGAGACATGATTACCCCCGAACTCCTAAAATCGTACAATATCGTAAGAAAATCGTACAATACAGTATCTTATTAGTAAATAAATAAAAAAATAGTATATTATAGTACATATAATGAATACAATAACTACTCGCATCGCATTGCCTTATGACACAGCAGTGAGGTGGCTCAGCTGCGGTAAAATCATGTTTTGTTTTTACAAGCTCTGAAAGGAAATAGATATTTTTCTTACTGAAAATGTTAGAGCTGATCCACAGCTTTCAGATCCTACCTGGCTTTCAGAGTTGTAATTATTGGTCAACATCACATCTCACTTGAATTTTCTGAAATTGAAACTTCAGGGAATGGATAACCTCATCTGTGAACTCTACAAAATCATCAAAGGATTTTGGAGAAAGCTGTCATTAAATCACCTTTGGAAGGAGAAAACTTTTCTTATTTTTAATGTTTCAAAGAGTTTTGCACTACAACCAACGAAGATGTCAACCTCAATTTTTAGAAAAAAATTATTGGTGACTTGAAGAAGATTTGGATAGATTTTCAGATATTGACAGAACCGAGAGTTACATTCTTTTGTTCCAGAATCCGTTTTATTGTACAGTAACCTTGATGATGTGCCCGTTGAACTACAGTTGGAGCTCATTAATTTGCAAGCAAGGCTTGTTGAAAGGGAATCACAGAGAAGGAAAACTTGTTGAATTTTAGCGCTGCCTACCTGATGTTGAGTTTCCAAAACTGAAGAACTTTGCCACTGGTATGGCATCAGTGTTTGGAACAACTTATGTCTGGGAGCAAACATTTTAAAAATTGAATTGTGTGATGTCAACAGATCGAAAGAGAGTGACTGAAAAACATTTGAAAACAATTCTCTTGATTGGATGCAGCAATTCCAAACCAAACATTGATGATATCTTGAAAGCCAAAAATAAGTTTCACAAATCTCACTAACCTTTCTTTTTTGCTGCTTAGTTTTTGAGATTCGAATATGTGCGCACTAGGTCTTATGTAACTATCTTTTTGCTAGTGTCGCCTTCTTTGATAGCTTTTTTTAATAAATAAATATGAAGTTGTCTTTGTTTCTTGTACATTGCACGACACTTACCCATGATTAGCATGGAATACTAAACTTAGTTGTTAGTCTTTTTTCATTCTTGTTTGCAAATATTGTGCAGAATGATTATCCGGCCTGCGCTCGTCATTTTTCCGTTATCCGGCCCGCCGTGAAAAAAGTTTGGTGAACCCTGCTCTATAGTATAGTATAATAGGTAATAATAAAATAGTCTTTAATGTGAAACACTGTATCATTTATAGCTTATCATTCAATATCATTCTTGAATGTTTAATGATAAAAAATTTCACCAAAAAAACACCAACAAAAAATGAGGTAAAAAAAAATTAATAAAACCTTCCCATGTTTAGCATACCCGATACTATGACTAATAGTATAATGGACCTAGATTTTACATATTAGTCCATTTTAATTTACCAATTAATAATTAAGTTACACTCAACAGCTGCCAAAACAAGACCTATCCTGGCAACCCAAAAAAAGAATATTTCTGACTACTGACTACTATATTAAGGATAAGAAAGAAAAACGGAATATTAATAATAAAATTAAGAAAAAAAAAAAAATATATGATCTAGGTCTGAGGGAAAAAATGTTTTTGGTTGTATTAGAAGATTCTCCATAAGGAGGTGAATTTTAAAATAAATTTTGACTTGATAAATGACTGATATGAATATGCATATGGTGTGTCTGCCGAGCTACATATGAACTAAGCCAGTTGGTAATCCTCTGGCATGGCTCACAAAGAGGCAAAACCAAGGGTCATTTGCTAGGTCTCTTGTTAAAGCCACACCAAAGCAACAGATTCCAGTTAGGCAACAGATAGCTGTGATTGCATTAA